TCTGGCGCGCTGCCGTGCCCGAAGAGGGCAAACAGCGAGGAGAAGCAGTGGAACAAAGAAATCTCATTCTTCCTTACCGAGTGCTTTCCAGCTACAGTGGCAAAAAGGCAATTTTTCATTCTGAAATCAGGGAGAACTTATAATTTTAAGTGTCTGTGGCTTCCAGAAAAAGGTAATGTAACTTATGAGGCTGGATTTCCGCAAGGCCGAAGGTGAAGAAGAGAAGTCAACCCTAGTGACTCCTTTCAGTATTTCCTCCGGAGATTTATGTAACAGGCTGGGCAAGACCTCAAAGTTTCCAGCTGAGAGTGGGAGTGCTTCTGCTCCACAAGCTGATGCAGCGTTGCCAGATTTGTATTTGTCTGGTATGACTCTTGCTTTTCTTGGTTCTCCCCTCTCGACCCCGTCTGTATGAGTTATGTTCACTGTTTACTGGCTGTCTTTCGAGAAGGGAGATGAAAGAGATTGACTGAAAGAAAATTTCTGGTCATTTTCTACTCAGTTACTATCACCTAATTGTTTTGTGGCTCCTACAATCTATACCTTTTTTGCCTGTTACATACAAAACCCAAAGGATACGGATGGAAAGATAGGGCATATGTTATAAAGGCAAGCTCCTACTAATTTCCCAAGCTGGAACGTACATTCCTTCCTGTAGCTTTTACTTTGTCACTGCCCCACAAACCAGTCCTGACCCAGACTCTGCACTTGCATGCCCCAACTCCGCAACATTATGAGCTGGGGCCAGTAAATGAGTTCTCCATCTCTAAAACCCGCGTGTCCTGCCTCATCCTGCTTCATCCTTGCCTGGAGTTTCAGAATAATATTCTAGATGATACAAGGGCTTTTCCTTTCGTGAGAGCCTGCCCGCAGCTGGATCCATGGAGGCTGCTCCTTGTGCAGCTTTGAACTGGTGCCGATTCTCACGGCGTATCACAATTTGGCAGCCTGTTTTACCCCACAGACTTTACGGCAGCATTATTTTTTTGTTGTTCTGTGTGTTCCCTGTATTTCTCGGAGAAAAGACATTATGAATAGAACTGGCTGAAATATGTAATTTCCTTTTCACAGGAAATCCTGTTGTTCTGGGAAAATCTTTTCTTACAGTTTGAAAGTAGGACTGTAGTCTTAAAAAAATAGCATATGTAAGAGAGACCATCCGTATTTTCACTAAGGAAAACTGAACATAGGATTAAATTTTCCAGGATATATGTGATGTAGACTTTGGAGCGTAGTCCTAGTGTGTACTTCCAGGCTTTATGTTCTCTGTCGGATCCCAGGCTATGACAGAGAACATTTTTCTGATATTGAGATTCCCTATATTTATATGTCTTTGTTAAATACTGTATTTTGCCTGCACTATTGCTTCTCATAACAAACTCAGCACCATTTGGGTTATAGTTAAGAGTTCTTACTTGATTATACTGCTGCTTATGGAGGAGTCCAGCTCAAAATTAAGAGTATTGCATCAGAATGTTTTGGTAATTACTAAATATGAGCAAACAAAGTCTTGTGATGGAGCTCAGGCACCCATACTGTCTGTCCATGGACTTGGGAGGTTCTTCAGAGTGGAAGCTTGTACAAGGAACAAAAAGGAGCAGACTTTTCTCTTTACTTCAAATGCTTATACCCACCTCATCCAAGGAAGAGACCAAGTAAACGAAAGTAGCTCCTTTAAAAGAGAGATAAACATGCACAGAGTCTTCCCATCATTTAAAGGAGGAGGACACAGAACTACCCCATCAAGCCAATTTTTACCAAGCAGCTACAAATACAAGTAGGAAATGAAAATAGCGACTTATTATAATTTCAGTTATATTACCTATGACTATATATTTCCTGCCTGTCTATATATTCACTGTGTATGTTACATGTGCTATACAGACAGTTTGGTAAAAAAGGGGTCCAAATGTGTGCAACTGTTACTGTTTCAGTATTAACAGAGCAACACTTTGGGTTTGAAATGAGGAGAGTAAAGCAGTAATCAAGTACAGTGCGGTGCAGAATTACCTTGCATATTGTTGGTTTAAATGATAACTTTGTAGGTGTATTTTGATGACACAAGAAACATATCTCTACTGGGAAGATGTCACACAACTCTCTTTCTCTTTGATTCTTCATCTTAAAAGTTTGCTGAACCAGCTCTGTGGAAGGAAGAGAAAGTGTTATTTTGTTGAATACCTATTGTGCAGCTTTATTTACAGAAGCTCTTTGCGGCTGTTCTTAAGCTTAAATTTTTTTTGACTTAAAATACAGTGCATCTTTGAAGGGATGTAATTTAAAGTGCTGCAGCCTACCTCTTCCAATTAGGCTGTTCTGTGGCCTGATGAATGAGTGTGGTTTAAGCAATGACACAAAGAAGGTACTTTGAGGAGCTGCAGCTATAGATATAATTGAAAGCCAGGCGTGCTATTTTTGAGCAGTTCCCCAGGCAGTGACACAACTTTGGGCAAAAAAAAAAGTCTCCAAAAATCCCCAAGTAAGGCAAACATCCAAAGCTATTAGCTAGTGGAAAAACTTTTGCTTTGCACAGGGGCAGAGGTGATGAGATGGGGTCTGTGCCGGGCCGTGGTGTGAGCCCTGACAGCATGCGAGGAGCTGGGAGCTCTCACTGGGATTCTGCGGAGGCAGCGGGGAGAATCGGGTCTGCTGTGCTCCTCGAGGCGTCGGAGGTGACATCGGGGTCTTTTCTTCCCCAGCTCGCCGAAGGCTTCATGCTGTGATAGATTCAGGCGAATGGAATCGAAAGCAAATCCTGTACTCGTACTTCTCCTGACATCGAGCTGCTTAAAAGAATCATGAGAGTTGAGAAGCCAACCAGAATCTGGCAGCTCGAAGTTATCTTTTAACAGGAGCAAAGTGCGAGGAGTCCTCGACTCGGGATGGCTTGTAGAATGCTTCTAGGGGATGAAATGGCTTTTCATTTCATTTCATGGCAAATTTTGCCCCCGCTGCGCTGGCGTGCGGGATGTGGACAGCCATGAGGAGCAGTGGAGACTACAGCCATGCACAGAATCACTGGAAATAGGCCAATCAGTCCTGTCCTTTAGGAAGCTGTCACATTCAATTCACTTTATCACAGAGCAGCACTAAAAATCTGCATCTGACCAACAGAAATGCTTATTGAGCCTATATTGAACATATGTTCAGTGCATGTTGAATGTGACACCGTTGTTACCGCATTCCTTGCTCCCAACAAAAGGCTTCAAGAAGAAATGTTTAAAAGCTAAAATTTGGTCTCAGTTTGGTTTGAAAACAAGTAAGATCTATAGTTCTCAGACCTAACAGTTTCCTAGTGCTGTACTCCTGTAAGAGCAAATTGTGTGTCCCTGTGTGGTTTAGATCTTCACTTTATGTTTAGGTTACCCATCATTTTGTACAGTTGCTGCCTCTCAAGCTTGTGTTTCATTTGGTTGACTCCATTTTGGGTGCTGCTCTTTTCTTGCTGGGTTTTTATGTCTGTGTGAGCACACAGTGCCAGAAAAGAATTATTGTTAATAGCAGGACTCCGTTGTCTTACCTTGTGTAACAAAGCCGTACACTTACCGTTCAAAAAGGGCTATGGTAAAATTCTATTCAGAATAGAATGTAGTATTTCCATGGGAGCAGGATGCACAAGGGTTTGCTGCACCTCACGTATCTCCAGTCTGCTTTCTCACCTGTAGGAGCACACACAGAAATTTGATGCCATTCTAGATGAGTTTTTTGGTGAAGCTATGAAATTCTCTTGAGAAGATCCTTTTGGTTTGGTTTTTTTTTTCAGTTGATTTAGGTGCACTTGTGCCGAGGAGAGTTTTAGAGACTAACACAGAGGTGTCAGTGATGGTGTCTGTGTGGCTGAGCCTCCTTCACACTGGAAAGCAGGCTTTGCAGGACAGATTTATTTCCAAGTGTGTTTTTGCTTTTGTGACATAAAGAAGTCTTAGGAAGACACTTATATGGAGAAGACCATAGCCATGATATTCTGCTCTGGAAACCATACTGCAATGTAAAATCTCTTTTGGGAAATGCAGCCTAATAGCTGAGGTCTATGCCATCAGCTCAGAAAGTCCTGCATCTCTAAATATGACCTGCAAACATGAATCCTCTCTCTGCTCACTAGCCTCTCGTTTCATTTTCACCAGGAGCTCTGACTCTGAAGAAGCATTTGAGACCCCGGAGTCCACCACACCGGTAAAGGCACCACCTTCACCTCCGCAGCCACCCCCCGAAGCGGTGGCAGCAGCAGTTGTAGCAGACATAGCAGAACAAGAAATAAAACCCCAGCTGCCCTTGGAAGACACAGGTAACGAGCATGTAATGAGTGGGACAGGTTACTGAGGAAGGTGAAGCTGCAGGGAGGTGTTTGTGTAAAGGCAGGCAAGGAATTGATGCTAATAAAATGTCTTCTGGAAGGTTAGTTAGTGTATGCTGGGCATTATCCATGCTGAGAGGAAAAACCCTGTTGCCTCCTGGAATAAAGTATTGGAGAATCTGTCCATAACATTTGACAAATTGAAAAGAAAAGAGGAGTTTTATAGAAAGCTTTTCCTTCCTTTTGAATCAAACTTCGTTCCGTCGGAATGAAGAGTTGGATGAGTAGAAAAAGGAGATATGAGATGCAGATGCAGGTACCTGGGTGAGCACTGTTAACTCTGACAATTAACAAAATGTTATTTTCAAATATATTGTCACCTGAAAGAGAAGGAGAACAAAAAGCCCATTAGAACAATAGAAATATTTATATTAGCTTTATAGGAGGAACATGGGAGTATGTGTGAAGGTTTAATTTTTATTTTGTGGAATCAGTTTGTTGAACGTCGTTCTAGCTTCTTATAAAGAATATGTATGTATATATACATTTATGAATGTACAATATACATGCATAAAAATTCGTACGTACTGGAAAAATAAACTTTAAAAAGAGAATACTGTGTTTAAAAAAACAAATAAATCCTTTCCCCAAAAAAAGTGTTCTTTGTTCTCCAAATTGAGTAAAGGAATATGAGGGAGTAGAAAGCACTCTGTTAGTCAAAAAAAGCTTTGTTTGGACTGTCAGATGACAGCTCAACAGTTTAAGATTGAATTCTCCATTAGGCTGTCTTTTTTCCCCATCCAAAAATCAAGTCATCTTGATCACCTGGCTAAATCATATAAAGGTAATTTGACTCTCAGCAGACTAAAGCTCACTTGTATTTCATTTGGAAAGATGGACAGCGTTGCCAGGCAGTGTTTTAAAGCTACCATTTCCACTCTGGAAGTGCCTGTGTTTAGCAGTGGGCAAAGCAATGTCCAAGCTTGATGTGTGTATTATAAAAGCTGTCCAGCTTTGATATATACCTTCAGGAAAGTCATAAATAAGTCTTGCAAATGTCTCGAGCCACCTAAAACATTTCTGGGAGTTGTGCATTAAGGAATGCTTTTTAAGATCATGATTTATGATACAAGTTTGTAACAGGCCAGAAAGATGTTCAACAAACTGATACCACCAAATAAAAATTAAATCCTGAGACATCCCGACGCTTTTTCCTTTCTGCTGTTACTGTTCCCTCTTTATTGTAGCAAACATTACTCATTCTCCATCTTCTTTCCTTTTTCTAATCTTTTGCAATCTAATGATTACAAAATAAGTGCTGAGAGAACAAAAGAACGCATATGCTAAACAGGATTGGAGTGTGTTTTTAATTACCGCAGAGGATTATCTTCAAACCCTTGATTACACATGTGTTTCCCTGGCTCATGTGATTCTTGTCTCCCTACATCCCAGATCTCCCCCTCCTTTCTTTCAGATCTTTCTGAAGAAAGGTAGGAAACTGAATATATCTATTGACAGCCAGTGTGAACTATATTGAAGACCATTGGATGACAGAGATGAAAACATTTCATTTGCAAATCAGATTTGTCCATGGGAGGCAAGTTATCGCAAATTAACAGAGCTCTGCTAAGCATTCCAAAATTATGCAAAACACAGTTCTTCTACAACAGAGTAATTTACGTGAGGGAAAGACGACATGTAACGTAGAAAAATTCAAATGTAGGAAGGCAACACAAAGCATTCATTTGTTGTGGAAATCTTTAGAAGAAATTAATAATACTAAGCCTATGGCTTAGGTGTTTGCATGCTTCTTCGGAAATGCGAACAGCTAAACATTTTGTAGTTTATAAACCGCTTGAGTAATAGTTATCTTGTAGTTTTCTTGACTCATGGGTTATGCATGTGGCTGCACACAAAGAGAATGAGTCCCTTCCTCAGGGACTATGGGCCATTGAAGCAGAGTTCCTCGTTGGTACCACACAGCTAAATAAATAGATTTCAATAAAAGAGAAGTAAGGAATACGGGCAACCGGAGAGCCTGGCACGCGCACAGGGAGAGGCAGCGACGTCCAGCTGGGTTCCTGGTTCACCAGCTGCGTGGCTTTGTCTTCTTCTACATGAGGTTGGTGACGGAGCATGTGCTTGGGTGGGAGTAAGTTTTTTAAAGGATTATTTCATCTATATCTGACAATAATTACTTATGCAGACGGTTGCAGTTATGCTGCATGATATCATTAGCGCAACAGCTGGACCCCACTGCTGGAAAGCCAAGAGGAGAGTTTTTAATTAGGCTGACTTCAATGCTAGCTTAATAAATATGATGAAAGTGAAATATAACTAGACTCATCCTGGGCTTGTGCCAGCTCCTGGTGGGGTAAAACCTGCCGCATGGCTCCTGTCCATCAGCAGCAGAGCAGAAGAGGGGGAGTCGGTCTGCGCGCGAGTCTGGAGGGGAAGAGGAGTAACAGAGCATATATGGAAAACACCTCTGAACCCCAGAAAGTGTCACTAATGAACTCTTCCATTCCTCTGTAAATACTTCGTTTTTGGTGAGGAACGTGGGTTATACTCTCGAGGCAAATTACTTTGAGGGTGCTTTTTATTTTTTTTTGTTTTGATAGTATCTTAAATTACTGTTGCTTGTCTCATCAGCTTCTCATAGCAATGGCCTTCTGTCCCTTGTTGCAGCCATCTGAGCACGAGAAAGTGCCCCAGGCCCTTTTTCCCAAATAACCCCTGTTTCTGGCCAGGAATTCCTGCCTGGGCAAGGGCATTTATTCTGTCCCCCTGCTGCCTTCCCCAATTAATTAATTAATTCAGACTATATACACAGGGGAGATGTGAGAGCTGAAGTCCCTCTATGCATTACAGCCCACCGATCAGGACATGAGACCTATATTTAGGTCCTTCTTGTGCCAGGGAAATTGAGGTCAGGCTTTCCAGTAGAGAGATGATGACCCAGACAAAAACAAACTGGATTTTTGGGGTGGAAAACATTCTTCTTCAGTGTTTTTCCTCTTGAAGCCTAACACAGAAAAACTGAAAATAAACTTTATATCCAAAGTTTTCTCTCAGAATAAATGGCAAAAGTATTTTTACAGTACTTTAAAAAATAGCATTACTAATTGATTTCATAACTTCAAAGGCTTCTCATAACAAGCAGAAATTTGAAATAAACTGTGTTTCAGCATTTCTAGTACAGGTAATTCCAATTCCTCTATGTTATAGGCAAAGTGTACTTGTCTCCTGAGTTATTTCACTATAATGGAGTATGTGGGTGCAGGCTGTATGCGTTTTCCAAGGGTTTCTCTTTATTTTTCTCTAGAAAACACAACTAGAATTTAATTTCTTCCATATTTGCTGTATAAGAACTGGTTAAGTTTTGTTTCTAAGCCTTTCGAAATAGCGTTTCATTTTGTTTCCAGCTCAGCAGTGTTAAGGCCTTCTGTTTTCAGCCTGTTGGGTTTCCGCCTTTTTTAGAGATACATCAAAAAGAAAAAATGCTCAACTGTCCTGGTGCACAGTGCAGCTCCCCCTCTAGAAGAATTTGTTGTAATGTAAAGGGAAAAATATTTAAAAATACTTTAGGAGTACTTTACATGTTCCAGCTCCTGAATATATTTTCATTATTCATGAATAGTTCAGATTTAGATTCAATACGCTCATAGCTGGTGCAGATATTTCATTTTCTGTGGTAGGGGATGCCCTGGGGAGCCGCATCCTGCCCCACTGGTACCAGAGCATGGAGATCTCCACAGGGGAGGAAGAGAACAGTGATACTGCAGCAAAACAAAACATGTCTACCCTTGCTTTGGCTCCTTCTGTAGCTCCTTGTGCAACTACTGCCACTGAGTTTCTGCATTTCTTTCCTAAGGCTGTAAAAAGATAGGCTATCAGATGGAAATCATGGAATGGTTTGAGTTGGAAGGGACCTTAAAGATCATCTAGTTGCAACCCCCCTGCCATGGGCAGGGACACCTTCCACTAGACCAGGTTGCTCAAAGCCTCCTCCAACCTGGCCTTGAACACTTTCAGGGATGGGGCAGCCACAACTTCTCTGGGCAACCTGTTCCAGTGCCTCACCACCCTCAGAGGGAAGAATTTCTTCCTTAGATCTCATCTAAATCTCCCCTTTCAGTTTAAAGCCATCACCGCTTGTCCTATCACTATAGACCCTTGTCAGAAGACCCTCTTCAACTTTCTTGTAGGCCCCCTAATACCAGTCTTGCTTGAAACCTACGAGTGCCTCCTATCCTTTCATATTCGATATAAAGCAGTGGTAGCAATGTAGTAAAAATTTTATATCCTCATTAGTGGACAGTTCGGAGCACATGTATGGGATTTTTTGCAGTTCAGGTCATTTATGGATCTTTATTTAAAGAAGGCTGAGTTAAGTGAGGCACGTGTCTACCTCACTGTTCCTGTGGGTCGTTGAAGCTTTACTGGCATCTGAAGTGCCATCAAAATCTAAGTATTTTACAACGTACAAGAAAAAGATTTCTGGAGTTGACTAGAAAACGTTTTTGATTTCTTTGATTCCTTTTTCTTGATACTCACAAGAGAAATTTGTGTTGTTTATTAATGCAAACAGTCTTACGGTATCTTTCTAGCAACTTTTGCTTCTGGCATAATAGGTGACAGATGACAATCCCAAGCATTAAACATGTCATGCAGCTCTCATCAAGATGTCTCATCATCTGGGTGCAAGAAGTCTGGGGTCTTTTGTTGTCGTTTTTACGTTTGGGATTTGTTTTGTTTTCCATACCTGATCCAGACAAAAATTCTCTGTAATCAGAGAAATTTCCTTGTGGAAGGAGCAGAACTTGGACTTTCTTTTTTAATGAGTGGAATGGGAGTGTTTTTTCGGGGATTGCCTGGTGTTTATGGCCACGTAAGTTTCCCTGCTATCGCTCATGTTCTTGGAATGCTTTATAAAACTTAGTATCTACCTGTGGGCAGATCTTACCAGTAGAAATTGTGAGTGACTGCCAGCACCAATAAAAGGCGTAAATCTTATTTAAAACCTTGTGCTGGCCTCTCTCTAGGACAAGTCCTGCTTTAATTTCCATAGCTTGTGTTGTAGTACGTTCTTTTGCGATCAAGTCGCATTTTAATGAAATACCGTAATTAGTAATACTGATTTGCTTAATTCTGTGATGTAAAAGGAAAGACAAATGACATGGCTCTCTGGATGTGCTGTTAATGTCAGGAAAGCACGAGCTTCATATCTCTTTGTAGTAATAAAGCCATGCTGTTTTGGAATAGTGAGTACCGTTCATATCTTCTCCGGCATTTCTGCTGTGACTAGTACTGAGCCAATTCTGTTGTAATGCCACAAAATCCTAACAGCAGCGTTTCAGTTCTGCCAAAAACCATGTTTTCTGAGACAGTTTCACATCTTGTTTCATAAAGAAACAATAAAAATACCGCGGTAATGAGCCGAGCGGCGTTCAGCAGAAATCCGTACTCTAAGTAAAGGATTTGATTAGGAGGAAGTTGTGAAATAAGCAGTTAAAAAAGATTAAAGCTCTGCACGATGTGGAGCACACCAAATTCGAATGCTGCTTTGCTCTGAGCAGCTGGAAAGGCTTGTACATTCTCATTGCTGCTGTGATGCATCCCTAACCTCAGCTCTACCACGCCTGTTATTTACAGTCCAAGTCCTGCACTTGGTTTATTTTATTTTATTTTATTTTACTTTATTTTATTTTTTTAAAATGCATGTTTGTACTGGCTTTGAACAAGGGGCCTCAATCGTGTTGAGGCCTTTGGCGCACGCTGGAATGAAAACAACGCATAATTACAGATGATTTCTTGTTCAGATCCCCCTTTTATTTCATGCTGACCTACATTTGTACTCTGCTGACATACTAGAGCTATGCCAGTGTTTATTCTAATGTGTTCCTGTTAAGTGTCTTCCATTCCCCTTTCAGTGTAAAATGCACAGATCAGTCTAATGCTGGAGTTTTATGGCACTCTTAGAAGAAATCCCAGTGAAGTGACCACGAAATCAAGTGTAGGTAATGACCACTCAGCCAGGCTGAAACCAAGCCCAACCCAGTGGAGATTAACGAGAAAAATAAACTGTCCTGCAGTACTGCTGCATTATTAGCATTCAGTTAGTGGAAAAACACATTAGAATATTGTTTTAAGTGATGTAACTCAGTAAAATTCCACAGTCTTAAAAGAAAAACTGTGGCTGTCATTCCTTTGACAATCCCTGGAAGTACATGGTGCCACTCTAAGGTACTGCTTTGGGAAATGTGTCCAATTTCCTTAAGCCTCTTCTGTCCTCTACACCCATAAATAGTAATTCTAATCTCTGTGCAGACATACAACGTCCTATGAAACAAAGAAAATCTATTTTTTCTGTTCTTAATTCGTTCATAGACTCTAACTAAAAGTAATTATTGACTCTCTGCCTGTATTGCTTTTGTGAACAACGTTAATGAATGTAGCTGGGCAAAATGGGAATTACTTTGCAAAACATGTCAAGATTAGGATGAAAAAGACGTGTAGAAATTTCTCTGAAATCATTTAAGAATGAGCAAAGCATTCATTTTTGGTTTAATGTTTTTCTTTCTAACTGTATAATTAAAAAAAAAAAAAAAAAGGCAGCATGAAGAACATTGCGTTGCTTCAATAGGCAACTCTGGGGCGTTTTGCTCCAGTACGTACCAGTGAGAGCTCAGAGCTTGAGCTGTGAGCTGGAGAGACATTTCCCAGGTCTCTGATACCCTGAGTGGGACACGCACACATAGGTGGAGGTGGCTGTGTTACATCCAGACAGGGAGCAGTACAATGACAGCAGGAGTAAACCATATATTTGTACATTTTAGTAATTAATTTGCATGAGCTGGAAGGCAGAAAGGACCATCACTGTAATCCTTTCCTACCTATATATTGTCTCTCTTTTCAATATGCACTGTGTATTTTTCTACTTTGTCTGATATAGTTGTTATATCCCAAGTCAAGAGACTTCTAGAAATCTTTTTAGGATTCCGTTCAGTAAGCAAATCATTAATTACAATGAAAAGCTTCTCAGTTTAATGGTTTTAGCATATAATTATCTCTATAAAATTTTCTTTTAATCTATGAGAACTACACTTTGAGAAATCTGTCTTAAATAATTTGTAGTCAGCTTCTAGTGGTCTCTTTTAAGGAAGGTTTTCAACTGAGAATATTTGTATGGCTCTCCAATTGACTAATTTTCTTACCGTTACCATAATTTGTTTCATGTGAAATTCTCAGTGATTCATGTCTCATTATAAACTTGGAATTATGAGGTCAAAGTGGAGTGTATTGTCTGCTTGGGGCAGAGGGAGGAGCAGCGTGGATGAGTTGTGGAGAGGAAGCCATGTTCCTCTGGGAAATTGGTAAAAATAGCACATGGGAAACAAAACTTTAGATCAACGTGTAATTGCTGAAGCACCAGTCAATTTACAGGGAATTTACTGCATAAAAGCTCGGACACAATTCTGTGAACTCTATAAGAGTAGAAGACAGGAGTAATAAAGTGCTCGATGTTCAGTTTTTCTGGTATTTGGCATAGTTAGCATGTTGTGGAAATATCCATCTCTTTAACTGGATGATAATTAGTTTGGAAGAGATGCTCTAGAGGCTGTTGCAAATACGTATTTTGTGTTTTCATGAAACTTGCCTTGAATTCTTTTCTGGGGAGAAAAGAACTATTTTTTTCCCTTAATCTAGTTCATATATTGGAAATTCCGCTTTGGTTTGTATGTCCTTTAATCATTGCTTAGTCCATTTATATGATTTTAACCTTTTTTTTTTTTTTTTTTTTTTACTTATAGTAATATTAGGTTATAGTAAAATTTATTAAGCTCCAGTTTTAAAAATGTGTTTAAAATTCACAGAGTTTTCTGTTTGTTCCTACAGGATCATGTTCAGAAACTGTACCCATAACTGATGTGTCACAGAGTGAATCAGTTGAAGAAAGTCCTTTCCGTCCCCCTTCCCATTCTTTTTCCACGGTCTTCGATGAGGACAAGCCAATAGCCAGCAGTGGAACTTACAACCTGGACTTCGATAACATTGAGTTGGTTGATTCTCTCCATGCCTTAGGACCAAGCTCTCCAGAATCGAAGAATCGTGATCCCAAAGCGAATGTTCGAAGAAAATCTACCGATTCAGTCCCAGTTTCCAAATCTACATTGTCTCGATCTCTTAGCTTGCAAGCAAGTGATTTTGATGGAGCATCTTATCTTGGCAATAGTGAGACATTAGCACCGGCAGCAGATGTGTACGGTACTGGTTCAAGTAGTGCTTCTAGTACCCTTAAGAGAACAAAGAAATCCAGACCAGCTTCCATAAAGAAGAAGCAGTCAGCAAAAAAATCTCTGGATGCTCCACCAGTGAAGGAAACACCACAAGAACCGTCTGACCTTGGCCAAGCAGCTTGTGCCCCAGGTGAGGATAAACCAGTATCTGAAGCGAAGAATGACTCAGTAAAGCCTGAATGTACTGAACCTTCTAAAATCTCTGCTGAGAAACAGGAGGCCCCGCCTGTGCCTGAAGGATCCTACCCCTTGGATCCAGACAGTTTTGAAGGGATTAGTGCATTTAGCACTGGAGGCAGCAAAGTACAAAACTCTCCCCCTGCCAATAAGAAAACGCTACCTCTTACAACGGCACCAGAGGCTGTGGAAGTGACTCCGCCGGACACTGGAGGACAAGAAGACCCTCCGGTCAAAGGCATCGCCGTGAGGCTGGAGTTTGATTATTCTGAAGAAAAAGGAGTGAGCGAAGACCAGCAGGAGAGTACCCCTCCTCCCAAAAAAGCAGGTAAAAAGCCTGGTGCTAAAATGCCACTACGGAGGCCAAAGACTAAAAAGTCAGTGGAAAAGCTTGACAACGCTCCAACCACACCAACCAAGTCACCCACTGATCCAAACGAAATCCCTATCACGAAAGGCTCCTACACTTTTGATATTGACAAGTGGGATGATCCCAATTTTAACCCGTTCTCATCTAGTACAAAAATGCAAGAATCACCCAAACTGCCTCAGCAAACGTACAGTTTTGAGCCAGACATGTGCGAGGACTCTGTTGACCCTTTCAAGTCATCTTCTAAGATAGCCAGCTCGCCCTCTAAATCTCCAGCTTCCTTTGAGATACCAGCCAGTGCCAATGAAACAAACGGAACTGAAGGAGACAACTTGAATAAACCTGCAAAAAAGAAGAAGACGCCACTAAAAACGTAAGTTAAAGGGCACAGATGTTCCTCGGTTAGAAGCAGCACATTCCCACCCCGTAGCACAGTTACACCGGCTTTATATTTGAATAGAGAAAGGAAGATGCCGTTGAGTGTTGGTAGCCACACAACTAGACTTGTGGTGGGGATCTGCATGTGCTCTTCCTCCACCTGTTTCCTCAATAGCTTGATGGTGCCAGACCGAAGGGAAGAACTGATACTGTTTAAGCTGCTGATGGAAGTGTTCATTCCAGGCAAGACTATTTTGGGAATCATTGGTTTTGAGGGTGGGACATGAAATAGTAAGGCAGCAACAAATCTTCTGTTGCACAGAGCAGGAAGATGGTTTTATCTAGTGACTTACAGCATTTAAGAAAATACCCGAAACAGAAGAGCGCAGTATTGAAATACATATTTTTAAATACAAGACTAAAAAATGTGAAAAATTTCCTTTTTGTGACAGAGCTTACAGTTCTGCAGAAAGGTTAAAATCTCCTAGACTGCTACATCTTAGGGAAATACCCAGCTTTTAGACACAGCTGACAAATTGCAGGATGAATTCTGTAGCTTGTTGTGTTTAGATATTTGGTTAATGGTTTCAATGGCTATTTGAATTGATTCCCCGGTTGACTTGCTGGTGTGTGTGTCTTCTTACCCGTTCAGATATGGTTGTTTTGAGTTGGTAATCAGTAAGTTTATATCCCATTTATCTGAAATTAGTATCCTGTGTGTATCTATAAGAAAGTATCTCACTGCATGTCCCTTTATGATTTAAATGTTTCACCTAACTAACAAAAACATGACTTAAAATTACAAAAGCCTGGCAATTTGAACATAGGATAGTTAAGGGAAACCAGTACAAAACGGAGTACTTTATGAGGTGAGATGGTTCAGTTTTTTCTGAACTGCCCTCTAGACACCTAATTCACATCCCATGCCAGATGTGAGGAAGCTTGTGCCATTTTTTCTTTTTAGGGGCATTTCTTACCTATGAAAATTATAGACTACTCTATAGTTGAGTCGAGTTTGAGTTGTTCTGATATTGCTTCTTTTTGAGGTATGCCTGAAATTTCGAGGAAATTAAGGTGGGAGTTAAGATGCATGCTAAGCTGAAACATTTTCTGAGCCTACAGTCCAAACTGGTTTTGTCCAAAACAAGAAGACTTAAAAGCCTGACTGCAAGAGATGACCAATTTAAATCTTACTGGGGAAGTGCAGAGGGAGAAAGGGGAATTTTAATATCACCAGATCCTTGAATCTGGTACTTGCAGCCAGCCAGAGTCTCCTTGTGTCTTCCAGTAGCTACAGTGGAGTTGACAGACACCCATTACAAACCTCTTGGGTCCACCCATCTGCTGTGAATATGAGAATCAATTCCAAAGCTGTTAATTTAGGAGCAACATGAGTTTACAAAGAGTTTGCTAAACCACATTCGTCTTTGGGAAAACCCATCGCGGGAAGGCCCTGTCCTACAGTCACAAAGTTCACTGCTGGTCTTTATTGTGGTAGAAGAAGGGAAACTACCCTGGAGCAGGGCTTACAGGTTCTTAGGTCGGGAGGTTTGCAGGAGTTCCCAGCCCTTGCCTGGGACTGCTTTCATGGCATTGTGTTATGTGTCTGCTCGCTGCAGCCCCGTAACCTACTTCTGCAAGTGGTTTCTAATAAAGAAGAGAATCTGCATATTAATACCCAGTGCAGCCTGGAGCCATCATACTTTCTAGAAGAAAATTAGCCTCTGGCTTGTTGGAGGATGCCGGGGGAAGCAGTGGCTGTATTTGCTTCTGCCTGTCTCTGATCTCTCCTCTGTACAAAAAGGGTCCTTGATATGACTCCTCCGTGGGGTCCAGTGCAGGAGAACCCCTGCTCAGGGTGGGAGATGGGGTGTAGGACCCTTCTTGGTGCTGCTCTCTTGGTGGGATGGGAGAGAGAAGCTGGTGCAAAATGCTTCAACTGCAAGGGGTAGAAAGAAGGGTGTTTGAATTATGAAATGGTACTGTAATATACCAGGACTTGAAAAACCAAAATAATGGATAATTTTGTGAACCCAGGCGGTTTTATTAGCACTACTGAGGGGTGCAGAAATACAACTGTATGGACTGTTTTGAAAATGTGTTCTTTATACAGAAAGACAGTGATTTCTAGATTAGATCTATGAGAGGTGAGGAAACCAGGCATGAGTTTAAGCCATTGTTAAGCCTGTCTGCTTTGGATCTGTGCTATATACTAGGTCTTTTACCTGTGTTAAATAAAAAAAAAATATTTATTTTTTATTCTGAAATGAAACCTGCAGCAGTCTAAGCATTAACCTCCATGTGAAAAGATGAGATTTTTAGAAGAGATGTCAACTCAACACAAATTTGAGAGAATTGGAGTTATTCAGCCTGGAGAAGAGAAGGCTGCAGGGACATCTCTTTGTGGCCTTTCAATACTTAAAGGGGGCTTATAAGAAAGATGAGGAGAGGCTTCTTAGGAAGGCCTGTAGCGATAGGACAAGGGGTAATGCGTTAAGCTAGAAGAGGGTAGATTCAGGCTGGTTATAAGGAAGAAATTTTTTACAACGAGGGTGGTGAAACACTGGCACAGGTTGCCCAGAGAGGTGGTAGGTGCCTCATTGCTGGAAACATTCAAGGTCAGGTTGGATGAGGCTTTGAGCAACCTGATCTAGTTGAAGATGTTGCTGCTTATTGCAAGGGGGAGTTGAACTAGATGACCTTTAAAGGTCTCCCAGCTCAAACCATTCTATGATTTCGTGATTCTGTGAAATTACTCTCTGCTCATATACCTAAGTGCTGGTCTGTTTTGAGACAGATCATCTTGCTGGCATATACTGAACAAAGAGCAGCTGATGCTACCCAAGAGCCTGCTTGTAATGATGAGTAAAAATAGGTGGCTTGTATAAACATTGCTCTCCAAACTGTTGGATGGTTGGAGGCTGTGTTTAGGAACGGAAGGTGCTTTCAGGAGCATTGCACATGAGAAGAGCCGAACAGAAGCTGCCAAGCTCATAAGTAGATGAAAACTTTTCTTAGCCTTGATTGTTTGGCAAGGTGTACTTCTGCTTTCAGAACACAAACACAAAGCTAGGTTTCAAAAATAGACGAGATTGAAAGAAATGTCATTTTCTTACTATTTAGGTAAATGATATGAAACAGTCAGGTAACTTTTTCTGTTTTGTCGTAACAAATCAGCAGACGTGAAAAAGCCTGGCATAATTGTGCTCTTCCCTTAAGCTTAGCTGCCATTCAAGAACGGTTTTACATCCCATAGAATAACAAATACTGTGTTTTGAAAAGAAAGCAGGTGGCTACCATCAGGCAAGGCAAGGGCGGTTGGTGTGTGGGTAGGAACTCAACTCAGAGGCCTCGGCTTTGAAAAATGTGTTTTGTAAGATGAAAGCGTGTCAAAAGTGTAACATTGAATTTGGAAACATTAAAGGACTTGATGAATATTTTTTTTTCTCCCCATGTATTTCACAATAAAAAGTAGGGGTTAAGATTATAGAGGTAGAAAATATGCATGATCAGATTGCCTTAACACATTAACAGAGTATTTGTAGGTTTATCTTTTTTGTCAGTTCCTTCTGTCTGTCTCTCTTTTCTTTGTCTTATTTGTCTTAGGATGGTAGAAGATGTGATGTCTGTATGTTCTCTGTTGTAAGTAATTCTAAGCTAACAATTCAACTTTCCACTTTGATTTATGGCCTTTTTAATTTTACTCACTTGTTTTGCAGCATGATCAGTTATTATTCAGCATGAAGCTTTTATGTTAACTATGTCACTTCACTGGCACACGTGAAAGCTATTTTAAGTAAGATGCCTGACTGTGAATGAGTTTGAGGAATCTGTTGCCTCATTATCTGTTTGTCTATTGAAGAAGATCCTCTTTTAAAACCTATATAGATTTTGTATCCTTGAGCTAAAATATGAAAGTTTTATTTCTGCCATTGTACAACGACATTGTACAATCAGTCTTTCATAAATACTGCATAAAATCTTTCTCCTTCTTAAAGGAGCAAGTTATCCTAATTACTTCTAGCATTGTAACTATATAATTAGTAGCATCGAGCACACCAATATTCAGCTGTCCAATTAATTGTCCCCTCTAGATGTGGTATTGATTTACCCTCTACTGGTTGAAACCCATTATAATTTCTAGTGTTGATCTTCCTGACATTGATCAGGGATGAGCTGGTGGGCAGTAATTTTTACCAGTGCATCTCAGCTCAAACGTTAAGTCTTTATCAGTGAGTGAGTTTGTTGTGATATTTTTCTCCCTCTTCTAATTAGTAACAAAAATGTGCTTAAATAATCCTGGCAACCGACATCGAGAGAACAAGCGGATAATTGGTTTATTTCCTTGTTAGAAAATATTTTTAACCCATTGTGAATAAACATAAAGGCAACATTCAGAATTATACACCAAGACATACTCTCTGTTCTTCATTCCTTTTGCCTGATTTTGAAGGGCTACAGCATCCGTGCCCCCAGCCTGCACTGTGAGCTGTCGGGGCAACTGGCAGCAGAATTGCCATATTTGTTGTTGTATTTGTTTTAAAGAGGGAGGGGGTCCATTGTGCACATTTGTAACGACAGAGCTTTGTTCTGGCATCTTGGGAACAGCATCTGCCTCAGCTTTTTTTATGTAGTTCATCCAGAGCATACCAGTTTTTCTCGTAGTGGTTTATGTGGTCATTGGAGCTTACTGCCCCAAGTTTATCACAGTTTTAATTCTCATTTAAAGATGTGGTTTAGACCTAATTTTCAGATGGGAAGCTGAAGCAGACAGAAGCTAAATAATTTGCTGAAGGCCCCTGAGGATGCCTGTGGTGGAGCTGGGATTTGAATTGCAATCAAGCAGCAGCTCTGTTCTGTAAACGTGTCAGTAGTTGGCGTGAAAAATATGGCAATCCTGCTTTTCTCGGCTTTTTGGGAATCGAGGCCTGTTCCAAGTGCATGACAAGAATATGTACCTATGGCATGTTTCTCTGTGGTGCTGCTGCCTCATGGATGGGATTTTAAAGCAGAAGGGCTTACAGAGGCTGCGTTGTCTGTGGCTGTCTCTTGCTAAGTGTGAAATGACCTGATTCTTGCTGGTATTACCATATTAACTGTTTTAACTTTGTTTTCAGTGATACATTTAGGGTGAAAAAATCACCAAAAAGATCTCCACTATCTGATCCTCCTTCTCAGGTAAAGTACTGCCTTATTTTGATGCATGTAATTTGTGTTCTTATAGGGACAAAAAAGGGAAATTTGATTTATTTAGTTGTAGAATTGTGCATTTAATAATAGAAGAGGTTTTTGTAAAGAATATAAGCATATTGGTGTCTAAGTATAGCACATTGTGCTATAATTATAAGATATTAACCTTTTAGTCTCTAGAAGCATGTATGCAATGTATATTAGATCTAGTGTTTGCTCTGGGAATTCCAGTTAGACTATTAGTAAATGTACTTTGGAAAGTCCTATGTTACAATGGAGTCACAATATGAATAAATATCTTCACTCAGTTGTCTGAAAAACTAGACATAACTTATCCACCCTGGAATTTTTAGATTAGGAAGTAAAAAACTAAATGCATCGAATTGGTGGGCCAGAAGGGAAATAGAAATAAAACAAGTGGGCTGATCTACCAGGAACATGTGCTTGGATGGTTTTATTCCTTGTTGTAAACTGCTGGCAGGTGCTTTTCTTGGAAGAGAAGTGAGCAAAAGCTGTTTTGCCTACAAAGGCCTCAGTGCTTTGATGTGGCACAGCTCCTTCCATGCTGCTGTTCATCTCCTTGTTATCCAGCCTACCCTGTCATTTATGCCACTTGACAGCCCAGAAGCAAAGAACGGGTTCGTGACCCTGCAGACCAACGACGTCTTTCTCCCATGAAAGCCTAAAGAGTCAGTTTTGGTAGTCAAAGACTCCAGTCATGGGTGATGTGTGCCACTTGTGTCAAGTGCCTCACGGATCTAAACGGCTCTGGATTTTCTTTCTTCCTTGTTATCACAGCAGCTTTGCAATGCGACTGTTTATCATCAAAGAGTTTAGTTACACTGGGAAAACTTGCTGCTAGTAGAGTTCTAAATGAAGTACTTGAGTATTTTTCATTAAATATTTTATACAGAGCTGCATCAAAGAGTACGGAATTAAAAAGGTGACTGTGGTCGTGCAAAGGAATTCAGAGAGTTAACTGTTGGACGTGTTAATAAAAGATAACAGAATTACTTGGCACTTTTTTTCTGCAGGATCCCACTCCACTGCCTACTCCAGAAACACCTCCCGTTATATCCACGGTGGTTCATGCGACAGATGAGGAGAAACTGGCGTCTTCGGTGACCAGTCGGAAATGGACCTGCATGACTGTGGACCTGAACACGGACAAGCAGGATTACCCGCAACCGTCTGATCTGTCCACATTTGTTAACGAGACTAAGTTCAGCTCTCCTACAGAGGGTATGCTTTAGAAAGGGCTGTCTGCATCCAGCTAATGTTGTATTTATTGAGAGAGGGGGTTTGGTTCGTTCAAGGGTGCTTTGCTGAATGTGAACTGCATTATGTGGCAACCCTAAAAAACGATGCTCTTTGGACCAGTCTGTGGAACTTGGCAATTATGGGGAGCTGAATGTATGACCTCAATAGTCCCACCTTGAGTTTTCAGGAAAGAGTAGAGAGGAAATATAGAGGAAAATGAAAGGGGCTTTTGCTTCCTTTGCATGGTTAATTGTAGACATGCTCTGTTCTTCTGTGCCTGCTACCTGTTCTCTTTGTTCTTCTGTACGTGCTGCCTGTTCTCTCTGTGCTTTCATGGGACTCTGGGGTCTAATACCGCTCTCGGTTAGTGCTCTTGGATCCAGAGTCACTGAACTACTGATTTTGCCTGAGCCTGTTCCTCCAGCCCGAATAGGAGAAGGTCCCAGGTTAAAATTCTGCTCAAAGTTTCTGTATTGCATTAAGAGCCTTAACACGCCATCTGTCCTCCAAGCTTCTAGGATCCAGGTATCTTTATGCATAAAAACATCCAGGATATCCCCCATGTAAGACAGTTACCATTCGTGTGCCAGATTTACTAAGATTTTCCCTGTCGAACCTTCCTATAAGCAGTTCTGAGCTAAAGCTGCAAGTTTCTGTTAAGAGAACTGTCATTCCAGGTCAGTGAAACGTGAAAAAAACAGAATTTAGGAAATTGGTGTGTGGCCTTCCTTAGGCTTACCAGAGGGAACACTGCTTTGCAACATCTGCTTCCAGGGCAGATTTTCAGCTTTGTGGGTGGGAAGCATGTAGGAGTTTAACTTGGCTTAAACTTTTTCTTCTTGTTCAGAACTTTTTTTTCCCTAACCTTTCATCCCATGTCCCAGTCTGCCATTAAAGCTACTATATGCCCTTTTAGACTGGATCTGAGGAGTTTTTGCCTAATTAAGAACTGCTAAGCTTTTAGGTCAAATGTGTTTGACATTAAAAGGCATTAATAATGACTGGTTTTAATGGGACTCCACATGTTCATATGCACGTGCTTATATGTTTGCATAGCCTGGGCTTTTTGGAAATCTATTGTCTTCTGTACAGAGAAGTATTTCAGTCTGGATAAATCTAGTTGGCTTTATTGTCAAATTATAAATTTTAGACATCCACTTCACTTGACTGGTATTTTAAAAAATAATTTAAAGAAATCTTTTTTAGAAAACAAGCCCCCCAAATCTGGGAAATGGAAATTATATGGAAGGAAATGGAACAAAAGAATAGTGAGAAATACTCTAAGGCAATCATTTTAGCTATCAAAGTGGGTAGAAGAAAGTGAGCAAAGCTCCTAATTAAATGCTAATTGTCTTGTCTCATGTGTGCTGCATGGTATAGTCGGAGTTTCAGATTACATGCTAATTATAATCAACAATGCTTCCGCTTTTCAGATCTCTTAAAAATAATTTTTTTTTTTCCTTTGACAGTTTTGCTCCTGCAGCTTTGAGACATTTTTGAGTAATTCCAGGGCTGTTTCTCAGTGCGAATATTTTTACCCCTCCCAGATACTAGTAGGAGTGTGTTGTCCTGTAACCTAACGCTGCTTTTGTACAGATACAGCCCAACTACTGAGTCAGCCAGTACATCCAGCTCTCAGCTGTTGCATGTGCTGCTTACAACTGCTGCCATGTTCGTGTTTCACAGACCAGAAATAAGCAGTAATTATTAGCAGAAAATTCTGATGTAATCTTGCAGCTATTTGTGGGAGGAGTTGGAGGACATCACTTAGTAAGTGTATCATATGTATTTATAAGAGGTAATTATCTTACTTCATGTGATATCCTGGGAATTTGTAATTTTGAATGTAGAGAGATAACCAGAGCCTAAGATTTTGGAGGGGAGATGATGTCTCAGAGGAGATACCTAGGAGAGGAGATAGCGTCTAATTATGCTGGAAACTTCTGAGAGTAATGAATCCAACTGCGTTCAGCCAGCCATGTTATTCCTTTTGTTTCTGGTTGAAGTGTTCTGCCTTTTTTAAATCGGTAAAGTTAAATACGTGTTGTCCCAGAAGTCAGTTTGGATTGTGATTGCAAAGCTGCTACTGGCCCAGTAGGCAGATGGGAGGCCAGTGCCGGCTGTGCCGGCAGAGGACGGTGCCGGTACGTCTGCTGCCGTGAGCTCAATTCTGCACTCACTCGCTGATCGCTCTCTGGGGTCAGCAAGCTGCCCCACGAGCATTCATGATGCACCTCTTTGGGCCGTGTGTACGTAAATGAAACACAGAAAGGCACTTACTAAACGCTGGCTGCTGGTATCTGGTGTTTCCTGCTTTCTCCTGCAGTTCTGCCTCTAGTAGGTGGTTTGGATCTCATCGTTTCGGTTTTCTTTTTGCTTTCACTAGGAAGAAGCTGGTATCTGATGCCAGGAGGTTGTCTGTCTTATCTGGCTCCCTATTACCATTAAAAATATATGATGCTAGGAATTTAAATGTGAGGAACCTGCTAGTATAGCATTCTCTATAAGGAAGAAATTTTTCACTCAGAGGGTGGTGAGGCACTGGAACAGGTTGCCCAGAGAAGCTGTGGCTGCCCCATCCCTGGCAGTGTTCAAGGCCAGGTTGGATGAGGCTTTGGGCAACCTGGTGTAGTGGAGGGTGTCCCTGCCCATGGCAGGGGGATTGGAACTAGATGATCTTTGAGGTCCCTTCCAACCCAAACCATTCTGTGATTCTTCGCTTAGCCTTTTTACTGTTAATAGCTCCCAGAAGTCAGGTACTGAGGATTTGTGGCTGTTCCTCTTCAGTGGTAGTTTGACAAAATATGTAAACTTGTGGAATTACAGTGCTCATACCCTACAGTGCTTTTTGTTCAAAAAAATTTTCGAGCATTGTAAACTCATGTTGCATCCTTTGAAACATTTTTTTTAACAAAACAGGTAAGACAGTATCTTCAGGTTGGTTTATTTTTAAAGAATAAATGTTTCATTGATGGTTACTGTCTTCCTGATGCAAGCTCTATTTTTCAAAAGCTGCCCAAATCTAGAAGAATTTCAGCATATGCTTTATCGTAACGTAAATGCTGGTGCGCAATTCATTAGAACTTATCTGTAATGGAAATGAAATTATAGAAGAGATTTATTGAATTAACTCATGGAAACAGAGTAAAATACAGCATTAGGACAAATTAATTATGTTTTTAATTTTTAAATTAAGGTATCATTGAACAAAGTCTTTGTTTTTATTTCAGTGAAGGAGGATATGCTCTCTTTTCCATTTTGCTGTGTTTTATCTGTTTGCCTCTACATCAGCCTACTACTGGGTGACCATGGATTGGAAAGAAATGCTGGTTATTCCCTCCAGTGTAATTAGGAGATTAGAAGTAGAGAAGCGGTAAAGATTTGCATTTTTATTAGGGTTTAGATTTAGGGTTCTTTGTAAATCTTCCTGCCTTAGGCTTTTCCTCTGAAACTAAAATGTGAAAACAGCCCAGTAGGCTGGGTTGTTGTCTCACCCCTTGTTCAATGAGCATACAGGTATTTTATGTATCATTTTATCTTAAGTGATACTACAGTAGTCCTTCTTAATTAAGAATTGTGTGGTAAACATTAAGAAATAGAAATTCATTTCTCAACAGCTTTTAAAATCTTTTTGCATACATTAAAGGAAATTGGCATCAACATTGCCAATTATTGAAAAATGTGTTTTCTGTGATAAAATAACATGATAGAGGAAAGTTATCTGTGCTCTGAAAGCACTCTGAAACGTTCTTAATATTCTGGCCCCTGGGGCAGAATTTTCAGCAAATTGATGAAAGCTGAGATTTTTCAGGCAAATTAATTTGCCTGAAATGTGTCATAGGTTCATTGTTGAAAATCAGTGAAAATCAGTGCACCTTCTGCTTTCTCTCTGTATATTCTATTTTTAATATCTCATAGAAAAGTATTGAGGAGAATGGGATTGGCCCCTGTAAATGAGATCTCATTTACTTCTGCAAAAACAATTTCATGGCATGTATTTAACAGCTCTCTTTTGTTTCTGTTGCAGAATTGGAATATGGCAACTCATATGAAATAGAATATATGGAGAAAATAGGCTCCTCTGTGCCTGTAAGTTCTCACTTCCATTTCCATTCATTTGCATTTCCTTGTCAGAATATACTATCCTGATAATGCCATCAGCCTCACTACCCTTTAAATTAATTATAATGTGCCTGCAGCAGACTTGCAAAACCAGTTCCTTTAAATTGGCATAACTGGGGTAAATTGCATGTGCTTTGTTGTCCTATATCCTGCAGAGCGTGTTCCATTTTGTTATTTTATTTTTAAGCTAGCATCATAGTAGTTCTTTCTGGAGATGAAAAGCAAATCAGTATTGCCAGCGATGCAGAGTTCGGAGCTATTTAACTATTCTAAGAAACTGAGAGCAAAACTTTTAAGAAGATGGAGGGAATCAGGAGACAATACAGAATGAATGTGAAATATGGAATGCAGTACAATACCTTATCACTTGTTTTGCCTTACTTCTATTTGATTCATCAGTTTGATAGCTTGACTAAATCCAAGGGGGGTGTATTCACAGGGGAAGTTAGAAAAATCAAGCGTGTATGTCAGGTGCTTAAACTGATGAGAAGTTTCAATGAATATTTTAGTAACACTTTCAGTCAAGGGATGCCTCCTGCCTGACAAGACCAGAAATCTGATTAACCCCAGAGTGAGAGAAGAAGAGCCATTACAAAGAGTAAACTGTTTAGGTTTTGTTCTTTAATGGTTTCTTCCTTAAAGGGATCATTTCAGTATCAGTTAGCATAGACTATATTACAGTCCTGTATTATTAGTTGTCTGTCAAGTCATTTGGTCACTTAGGGCTTCCGTGACCTGAATTAGCTTGAATGGAGAATGGTTGAGTTGCTTAATGAGTCTTTCTTTTCCTGTTGCCAGCAGGATGATAGCACCCCGAAGAAACAATCTTTATACCTAATGTTTGATGCACAGCAGGAGAGCCCAGTCAAATCACCTCCCATCAGGCTGTCTGATTCCACAACACCATGCTCAGGGTATGTCACTGCAAGCAAATTCAGCCACGGAGAAGGGTGTCTGGGAAATGGGTTACCATCATAGCACGTACAACAGGCAATTCTTCCTCTCTCTACCTCTGTGTTGCCGGGTTGTTTGTTTAAAAATATATTCCCATCTGTGTACACATATGATAGAGAATAGAGGGCAAAGATACAGAAGTTTTATAATAGAAAGGAATAAGGACATGTATTTCTTCTTCTCATTCTTAGTAAATAGAGTCACAGTGGCAACTGTTTCACTAGACAATGGCTTCCTACTTATACTTCTTTTTCTCAAACACTGAGGTCATTTTCATGTCAATCTAGAAATCTCCTAATTGCCACTTTTCACTTGGCCTTTCCTAGATATATTTTCTGAACAAGGAAGCTAGTTCATAAGAACAGGATGTGGGGGTTGTGTTTACTTCCAGAAATTTTGCTCGTTAAGGACATCTGTTCTTGTTAGTAAAAGTTGTTTGTTGGGAGAGATGTAGGTCACAATGAGAAAGGGGTAGAAAGGCAAGTGAGAAATATTTAAGGAATGTGCGTAACATTTCTGGTGGAACTGGCTTTGTTTAGATGACTGGTGCATTGCTTTGAAAGGATATTGGAAAGTGTTATGATATATAATGATACAAAGTTGGGTTGAAACAATGCGTGTGTGTGTGTGTGTACACATATATGTACACGTGAAAGGAATGAAGAGGACTTGCTTAGTTGTTACCAGAAGCAAAATTGTAAGGGCCTTGTGCTCCATCCTCAAAGCATGTACACAATCTTTTCCCAGGTCGAGTTTTGAAGACCCTGAAGCCCAGCAATCCTCTGGAATGAAAATACAACATCCAGCTTCCCGCGTCCTAGCTGCCAGCCAAGAGGCACACTTACAGTCACCTGACAAGTCAAAGCAGAAAGACCTAGAGCCCATGACCCTAGGAACAACTCCAGAGGCTATTGAAATAGTAAGTAATATAGGATAAGAGTTTGGAAATCATTTTCCCGCAGAAATTTCTCATGTCATGTAAGAGATAGCAAGGGTGTGTCTTGAAAGTAGAGTGAATCTATAATCGTATATTCAAAAGTAATCTTCAGTGAGGTGTGATATTACTAGGAAACAAAGATTTGCAGACATGTATGTTGCTTTTGGCCTGAACTACTTGGGCAAAATCTCTGTTGCTTATCCTATATCCTCCTTACCTTTCAGACATCTCCTGAAGACTCCTTTGTCTCTGCTGATGCTCTTCTCAATAGGATATCTAAGAAAACCTCCATATGTGATCAGCCTGAATATCTCGATCCTGACTTAGCAGAAAAGAACCCCCCAGTATTTGCTCAGAAACTTCAGGTTTGTAGCAGAAATATAAATGTCACTTTTCTTTTGCTATACACGGGTAGAGGAATGCTTTGCCTCATGTGAAAGGAGTGGGGGAGGAGAAGCTTGGAGGGGAGGTGGGAAAGAAACAAAATAATGATTTGATTCTTTCCAGAGTAACTTTGGCCTTTCAGGAACTTAAGGAACAGAGATATTTTAATTTTAATTCATGTAATACATAAACTTAAATTTCATCAACACTTTCAACTATCCTCTACCACAGATGTATATATTTTGCAAAAGTCTTTATAAAGCAAATCTTTTAAGCTTGAACACAGGACTTGGTGTGTGGAGAGTTATTTTGGCACCTGGCCTTAGTAGGTCTGTACGCATAGGTTCATTTTCAGAGATTTAAGACCCTAATTCTGCTGAAATGACAATTAGGCTTCGTGTTTCTAGTAATGTATCTAATGCAGAATTTGGCATGGCTTTTTCTAGGGAAAGCAAATTGATCTGCAGACCACTTCTGTATGTCATGACATATTTTCTAGAATATTTATAGTGAATTTTTAAAACAGCAAAGATTGAATGGAGAGTGGCAGCTGGCATAAATTCGTATAAAATGAAAATGAAAGGAGTCTGTGAAAAACATCTTTAGCTCCAGAAAACATTTATTTTACCCAAAGCGTTGTTCGTGCTTACCCCCTAATAAAAATTGTCAATACAGCTACCTCAAAACTAACCAAAAACTGGAGTTTCGTATCAATGTTCTAGTCATGAAAGGAATATGGGATGTGTTTGTCACCCAGGAGCTGTCAGAATTATACATTAAAATATAACATTACCTTTTCGAATGTGTTAAACATTTTTGCTGTGTTCTTAATCCATTTTTTTTCTGTGGATTGCTCACAACCAAACACTTGACAGGAGGAGTTAGAGTTTGCTGCAATGAGGATAGAAGCGCTGAAGTTAGCCAGGCAGATTACCCTGTCTTCTCTCTGCTCCGAGGTACCTGTTTTGTGCCTGCCACGTGTGTGTGTGTGCACAGACTAAGAAACCGAGTGCTGCTTTTTCTTTAACAAGGTGACTAAGGCTCTCAGAGTGCAGTGCTGAGCTGTGTGCACCTCTGAGTGACACCAAAGAGCATGCTGAAACGCCGTCACTTGCTCCGCTCACAGAGTACCGCTATGTCCCAGTTAACACCAGGCAAACTCGAAGGCAAGAAGCAGGCACATACCTTTCTCAGGAGACAGACTCTGCAAGCCAGGTGGCTGTTTGTCATATATCTAAGCAAGATTTGTCCTAAAATGTTTGATGGCAAAACAATACCAAACCTACTTCTTACAAAGACTCTATGGATTTTGACTGTAGGGACATTTTGCCTTTTGTTGGTATTTTCAGCTTGAAATCAGACATCTGAACTCTCAGAGTTTAGAAGTGAGAAATTGAATCGACCCTGTCTTCAGGCATCTGAAGAAAGGGACTACAGCAGGTTTGGAAGGGCTGTAGAGCTCCCAGGAAAAAAGGCCTCCCAACAGAATGTGTCTTTATTCGTGAAGATCTAAACCTTTGGGTTTTTATTGCCACTTCCAGGTTGTGCTGGCTAATTCCGCCTCAGAGCGATGCTTTGCACTGCTCTAGGGGTGCACATGGTCCTCACTGTGTTTGGAACAGAACGGAAAAGCTTGCTCTGATGCGCTGAGCTGGGTGGTCAGCCAGTTGCACAGCCACTTTACGATGCCCTTCGTGCTACTTTTAACAAAAAAGTCAAGCCAGAAATGTTAGTGGCTTTCTTGGGAGGTGGTACTGGCTGAATGGGATGCTGACGGGATGGCAGTGTCCTGCTGCAATGAAACATTTTATTCCAAATGAGGAGAATGTGCTTCTGGCACGTCCTTCTCTTCGTATACTGTCCATTAATAAGTCAGTGGGAAGTCTTTGCCCGATCCTATATCATCTTGAGTTCATTGCATTGTAACAGCATCTGGCCTGGTTATAGGGTAGAATTTTTTGGTGATTTAAAGACCAGTCATAAAGTAGCTGGTTCATAAAAGTAAAGATTTGGGTTTTTTAGATTAACTGTACTTTTATGAAAAAATAATGATTATTTCGCTTACCTTAAATAGCCCATGAGCACCTGTTTCCATGGTGCACGTGTACTTACCAAAGTAAACTCATTCCATGCAGATTTATGGGTGTTTTAAAATATGTGACTATAATCTTTCATTTGATCAAGAAAAACATGATGTTGTCTTCATCAGAAATGAAGCTTAACCTTCTAATTAGGAACAAAAAGAACAAAGGAGGAAAAAATAAATACCATTTTCCTGCGTGAGTACTAGCCTGTGTGTGACTGTGTCTCCTTGCTCCATTGCCCCCAGTGACAGGTGTAAGAAGAGGGTGAGGTGGGATCCTCTCTAGATCCTCTCTACCTCTTTATTCTCTCTCTACCTCCTTGTCCTCCCAACACTTTGCTGTAACACGCAGCAGTCGGGCTCTCTAGCACCAGGAAACACTCAAGATGTAACATGTAATAACACCTGGATGGTCTTCACGGCTTATAAAAAAAACTTCAGTTAGATGTCTGCATTTTTGCTTCTAGCCAGCAATTCAGAGACTCACAAATTGTGCTGTTTTAGACTGGAGAGAATCGGTTCGTATGTCTGTGAATTCTTGTGTGTTACCCAGGGAAGATTCTGAGCTGCAAAAATGTTATAGTATATATTTGAGTATGTGGAGTTATATTTGAAAGATGCTTTTTAACATCATTACAGCATTAACATCATTACAGCATTTTCTTTTATCTAGAATAAGTTTATGAACTCTTTAGAATTTAGAAATGGGGGATGGATTTCATGTGAATTCTTAGAGAAAGCCATTAATCTGTGTAATAAAGATGGCAAAAACAGTAAATAGAGATGAAAAGAGAAAAACAAGCGAAACTCCACCCTCTGACAGAGAATGGGTTGCATTTTGACATTCACAAAGCCCCGTGTTGGTCCAGTCATAGGAACGCTTTTAGCTGGATACTGTGGGTGTGATGTTAGGCTGGGAAGGACTTTTGTCCTTGCGTAACTCTACTCTTTCAGTGGGAGGTTGCTAATGTTAAATTAGCCTATGATGACAACTTTCGTGACCTACAGTGACTTGTGGCCTGGATTGAGTATAATAGGATCCACCAGACGACTGCAGTGACTTAAATTCGGATACTAACTGGCAGAATTCCCTTCTCATTGGCCAGCCACGGTTCTTTTCTTAAGGTTGTACAATTACATTTAGCATTTGCTAAACTGTTACGCGATGGGTAACAAGAATAGGGTGCTAAATAAAGACACAAACACTTGTTATGGCAAGTTAGGTCAGCTGAAATTAAGTTTAAATACAAGTCTTTTCTACTAGCACTAGGACTGAGAATAAGGATGTGCCCTTTGTTCTCAGACAGAGGGAAGTTATTCAGCCACTCCCAAACTTCTTGTCACACACCTCAACAACAGCAGGACTAGTCTATTTTTACATTGGCAAAGATTTCTGTCTTCCATTTTCGAGATGAATTAATGCTTCTCTATTAATCAGTCTACATTAGGATGTCCTGTGGCCACTTTTTTATCAGTGGAACGTGAACGGACAGGCTATAGGGTTTGTGTCCGCCACCCTACAGATGCTGAGGCGATGTAGAGTTGGGTGTTGAAATAAGATCCAAGGAAAAGAGAGAAGCTGAAAGGAAAGGCATTGGCACGAGTGGGATTAGTGCGTCACAGCTCTGGGGGGCTCTCGTGGTGGTGAAAGAGGAATAGTTCCTTCAAACAGGGATACCATTTTTTCTAGGAAAACTTTATAAGTAGAGAACTTATTCTTGATTTTGCTTGCCTTTCCATATATTTGCAAGCACAGGTAGGTCCTGTTCTGCCTCCATTGAGCTGTCTGCACACACATCAGTTAGTTAAAAGAGTAGGTCATTTGATACGCACCCAAGCAGTATTTGAGTGCTCGCAAAAGGACAAGCTAATTTTCAGCAGGGCTAAATACCTATTCCTCTGAGCAGTATGATACAAACTAGTTTTCATTTTCATTGCAGAACCTTTTTCTCTTTTCTTTCACTTTGACCTTCTTGAAGTGAGGGAAGTGCAGCTGGTTAATCAATGGGGATTTATTCCCTCTCTGGTCAGATATCTGGTTTCTGTAAAAGATGCTGGGAGGAGAAGAGGAAGTGTGTTGGGCTCTCAAATATTTACACTAAGATGGCAGTGACCTACATTTAGTAGTAATTCCCCTGCAGACTTTAATCTTTCTGTGCGAGGTTCAGTGACTTACAAATCTACGCTTATTATTACCCCAATTAACTGCTTACCTTCTCAGCAGTTAGGTGTCGAACTTAAAGCATTGACGCAGTTATTTTAGGTAATGCCGTCATCCCGTTGGTCAGGTTATGTTATTTTCTCAGGATAGGAATATTTGGAGACAGCAAATAACAGTTACTGAATTGTGCATCAATTTGGAGCTGTGTAAAATTGGCTTTTGAAATAAAATCACAAAGACTTGTCCTCACTGCTTCTGCCAAAGACAGAACCCAGCAGCCTGATTGTGACTCCTGTGAGGTGTTTCCAGAGATAGGACAATACAGGTCAGACCACTACAAGTATTTCTGCTCAGTGGTTAAATTCCAATTGTTTTTACAGTGATTTTTGGAAATTTTAAGTTGTTTTGCAGGTCATTATTACTATTCTTTTGTTCAATTTACTCAAATGCAAAGGAGAACTAGAGAAAACATACTTATATTAGTGGGGTGTTGAACACTATATTTAAAAAAGCATAAGTATGTATTAAATGCTCTAAATGTTCTTTTTTCCTTAAAAATTTTCCTCATCCTGGCAGTTACTTTGACACATGGTTTTGTATGAGCTTAAGGAAATCTGTGTTTCTAATGCTACAATTAATATTTTCCAGCAGTCTCTTCATGAGATCCAGCAGATTAAGCTGCAGGAGGCTTTGAAATATGATACAAACAGTTCAACAGATTGATTTTCAGGATGGCCTTTCTTTTGAGGGCAGCTTTGATGATCTAATGGCTCTTTTTTATCTCTCAGTTTTTCTTGCCTTGTGTTGAGATGGAACTAAAGTATGTTGTTTTGAAGCTAGGATACTGAGTTGAGCCAGCAGTAGTCTCATTTATTGACTATTTTACCTTTACTTAGATCTGTGAACAGCACCATGTGTTTTTGTTTGTATGCATTTACATAGATGTCTGAGTTTGGGTCCCAGATGTATTTTTTCCTGTATAGTTGTTGTATACTGGGAGATACTTTCAAGAATACAGGCAATGTAATTTTGATAGATCTCGTGATGCTCTTTGCTCAGATAAGAGAATCCACTGGATTTGAGGTTGCACCTCGTAATTACATTGGAATTGATCATTATTTTGTGTGTTCATGGTTAAATGTAGCAAAAAAGAGAAGAGATGGCCTGCTCCATAAATGCTAGAAGTAATAGTCGATTGACTCTCATGTTTAAAAATGAACAAAAAAATATAGACCAAATTAGTGAGAGTCTCTTACATAAATAAAGGTACAGTATGGTGTTTTGTAAGTACTGTTTAGCTTATTCTTGCTCTGATTAAATTTTCTTGCCTGGTCTTTTAATGTTGCTGGTGTGGTTTCTTCATGTTGTCTACAGATGTGATATCCAGAACATCTAGTCCTGTGTTTTATCTTGAGTGAGAATAGTATGTAATTTTTAATATGGCTTCTTCAATAAGGAGTGATGTGAGAACTCAGAAGGGATTGCAACAAAATTAGAAGTGGGTTTGGATCCTTTCTATTATTCTAGGCTACGAGAGAACAACTGAGAGCAAGTGAATGGTTTATGGAATAGCATCTGACAAAATTTCCTTTTAACTGTGTTGAAACAAGAGCATGTGGTGTTGAAATTAATGAGGTCTCTTTGTGTGCAGGTTGTGGAGAGGAGGACTGAACCTTGATTCAGATATTATCTACTCACTGTCACATTCCTGTGCCTCAAGCAGTAGAATGGGACTCTGCTATTTTATTAAAAAAGAAACAAACCAACCCAACTAAAATCCCAACCGTCTTTTACAGTAAAATAAAAACTTAGCAAGTGACATGTGTATACATACACAGCGAGAGAGGGGTTTCTGGGCATTTGTGTCCTCCCCGCTGGAGTCAGTGTGTTTGACTGTTCTGTACCGTGTGAAGTATCTTCTTAGGTCACAGGAATTCAGGGAATTTCAGCCATACTCAGATGCGAGATCTTTCCTGTGAAACTTCTTTTGGTGGAAGGATTTCAGAGAGAGAAAGGAAAATACTTGATAAATGCAAAAACATGTCGCTGGCCAGGGCTAAGCCCATCTTCCCCCACGGTGCTCCTCGAGGTGGGGCTTCGCTGGGACTGCTCTGGACCATGCAGGGACCAGAGCTGGTCCTTGGCCCATGAAATGGAGATGCTCTTGCTGTCTCACAGAATTATCCTGAGGCCAACGTTATCTGCACAGTGTAGTCGCGGGGGTCCCCGCACTGCTCTGGAGCCTGGAAACACAGCTGAGCTCATAGAGAAGCCTCTTACCATTAACTTGCTACCCTGTTTGGTTTCTGTGAAGATTTTCCTCTTTAAAAAAAAAAAGTGCATTTTAATTTTTTGTGACATTTTGCTTCTCCAGCCTGTTTTAGTGCAGTGTTGTAAGGAAGCAAAGTTTTGGGGATCGCTGTGGTGTCCGTACTGCCTGCCCCGCTCCTCCCCATCCCCAGTAATCCTCATTCCTTTGGCCAGTTTCGTGCGTGTTTAACAGAGGAGCGAAACATTAAACCCCAGCAATAGGGATATGGTCACATCCACCTCCAGAATTATTTTGTGACCTACCAGCAGCTGAGAGAGAGAACAGTTTGTTTCCCAGAGCGCCAGAGGCAATACCCAGCCGGGTGGTCAGCACCTGCCTGTTAGCTGGTTGATCACGAGATGTAAAACACAGGTGGGGGACACGGGGACATATAGCTGTGCTGGTGCGTCTGCTCTCAGGGGGTTGCCACAGATAGTGTCTAAAAATGTGGGGTTTTTTGTGTTCAGTATATACCTAACTCTCTTTTATAATCTCCTTGGTTGTAATGTGCTGTTACTTGGATTGTTTGTATCTAGAGTTGTTTGCAACTCATCATCTCATGCGTCTCAGTTTAATACCTCTTTTTTTGCTCTATTCCTCATTTCCTTCTGCCTTAATCTGGGCCACTGACATGAGCAAAATTGGCAGCTGCAAATAAAACCTCATTTAACTTACTAATTGCATGCTACATACCAGTGGGGCAGCAACATCACCTGTATATCCTATGATTCTATATGATATTCACGCTTTTATGACGTACTGTTTATGATAGATACAGTATATTGGCAGGTCGGACCTAAGAAAGCGAGCTGTCCTCTTGCTTCTGGTTCCTTCATCTGTTTTTATGGAAGCAGAATTCCCCTTAACAGGCTCCCTGCCTCCCAGTTCTAATTTCCTCTGCTGACATGCAGTTCTTGAGGATGTTTTGGTGAAATTTCTGCATCAGAAAGTAATAGATTTTCTAATAGAGGACCCTAAAATATTGGCGGCAAAGCACTGTCTTTGTTTTCTCTCTGTAAGGGTAATATGACTTCCTTGATGCTTACTGTGGATCTTAAATGTCTCTTTTATGATGGCTAAATTCAAAGTTCCTTGTCAGTGTTTTTGCTGTTATAATTTAGTAGTGCACAGGATTCTAATCCTAGCTCAGGACCCTGGTGCCCAGCACTACACCCTGAAAACATATTAGCTAAACGCATATTTAATGGTTCATTTCTTTGTATTTAAAAAAACAAACACACAGAGAGAACCTGCTATCCCAGCAGATGTTTCCATCTCTAAAAGTGCACTGTACTCCCGGATCGGCACCTCGGATGCGGAAAGCACCACAGGTCTTCTCTACCCCCAGCAAGACTTGGACTCTGCGCTACGACTCGCCAGAGCAGAGGTAATTTTCTTCAGAATTTGGAAAAGGAAATGTGTGCCCTTTGCGGTTTCCTTCTTTCCTGTTTTCTCCCAAATGATTCATATGATGAACGCTTGTTCTATTCTTGAAAGTGTCCTCAGCCGTGCTAAAGCCATGCCAGAGGCTGCCAAAGCAACAGGTGCTACACTGTAAGTTTTGCTTTTTTTGACGTAAGAGAAAGCAGACATTATATGAAAATAATTCTTCTTTTTTTTTGACCTCAAGTGTACTCTGTGCATCTTGACGTTGCTATATAATTATACAAAAATTTTAAGAGTCTAGAAATAGGAATGGAATTATGTATTTTACAAAGCTACAAATAAGAGTAGTCTGGCTAATAATAACAATCAAAGAATGGGTACAATCTAGTGTTCCAAAGTGTTCTAAAGTATTCCAAACTTTATGATAGATTGTGTGAACGAAAGGAGCACAAAGGAACGCAGTCCTTTGGGTGTAGAATTTCCTGAACAGTCAGCCCTAAGTAGGCATGCAGAAGCAGCAGAACCCGTTAGAGGACAAACCAGGGGACCATATTCCAAACCCATGTACAGAAGTATTTCAGGTTTGGCACCAGGTCAAATCAGACACAGTGTAGTGTAATACAGTATTTCTTGAAAAGTGTCCTTGTCGTAATCGGGAACGAAACATGAAACAAGAACATTGCATCTATTTTCCCAAGTTAATTTTTCAAAACTTGAGTATGATTTCACATCCGAATTTTTTTAATTGCACCCCTCAGTCTGAAAAAGATCACTGGAGATGCTTATATTTGAACTCATTATGCACTTGAAAACTATACTTCTGTTAATTAGGGTTTGATATTAAATCAGATATTGTACAGTTATTTAATTTCCTCTTTAATGGATCACTTGGATTTACTGTTTTTTTTTTTTCCTTTGCTTTGTTTCAGATTGTGGCCAAGGAAAGAGAAGTATCGGAGTGGAAAGAGAAATATGAAGAAAGCAGAAGGGAAGTGATGGAAATGAGGTGCGTTATTAACTTGTCACTAATCACACTGACAGAGAGTCTCATTTCAGCCTGCGGGTAGTACACAGGTTAGCTGAATTTGTTTTGTTATTTTTAACTGCAGGCTTTGGATTGATCTTAAACTGGTATTTCGTCTTTGCTCTGCATGGTGGGCATCCCTGTTCAGGGTAATCATTGAAAACTTCTATGTCGCTAATCTCATTTACATCCTCAAAATACTGATCTAAGAAAAGTCTTAATCTAGGTTAATGTAGGGGAAGAATTTCCTCCAGTTTGTGCTGTGAGTTGCTGACTGACTGAGCCTGCCTGCAGAGCTGGCAGACGTATGCGTGCGCTAATTTAAAATTCACTCTCCACAACTAGCTTTGCCAACAGAAGAAAGAATGTGAAGATTTGCAGACAGGTAGGAGTAGTACAGACTCCCTCCAGGACATTATTGTAAAAAGTTTCTTTAAAAATAGAAAGAAAACCCCACTTGCCAGTAAAAAAACATTTCTTGCAAAGGAACCACTCTGGCCTCTGAGTGTTGACTTTCAAGGAGATTCTACACCATTTTCTTTGAACTAAGCTGATTTTTTAATTACTGTACACAATAAGCTTGATTGTAGTTAAGCAATAGTTATCTTGGAGTTTGCTGCTCCATTTGAGAGCTGACAGAGGACCCTGAGCCTTTCAATGTATTCTAGTTGTCTGTTTTACTCTATTTCTCCTTGCAAACCTGCCTCTATTATGTTAAATATCTGTATACTGGAACATAACTGGTTGACCTTCCTTCCCAGCCCAGGTCCTACCACTTGCAAGGGTGACAACGAAATCACTGTAGTGGATGAGGTGAGCGGTGTTGCTCGAAGAATCACTATTGCCTCTCATTTAGTCAGTTGGAAGTTTCAGCCTTTTTTTTCACAGTGGTAATATTGTAAGATTGACATACTAATGAGCTTGTCCTGCTCATTGATCTGGGTCTGAGAAAGTCACCAATTGCAAAAGAGGATGTATAAAACTACTTTCATGAGGTCTTTAAAGCTTATTTTTTTTGACCTTCAAACAAACAGAAAAACCATCCCCCCACCCCTTAACTCATAAACAGAAACTGTCAGATTATTTTGCCATCCTTCTTTTAAGTAGTAATTTCTGCAATCACTTCTGAAACTGAATTTCCTTCAAAATCGCTTCTGTTCTAGCACCAGCTTCTTCCCAGAATTAAACATCTCGGTGGTTTAAAGGCAAAGCCAACGAGCTGTATCGAGTGATGACCTGCGTATACAATTCCTGCTTATATCCAGGAAAACCATCCTTAGGGAGTAGGGTAAAAGGGAGCTGCGGTACTGAACTCGGCAAACACTGGTGTGGGTGCCAGGAGTCGCACGTGGCAGATTCGAACAGCAGCAGCGCAGGGCTTTGAGCCAAAGCATCTGAAGAGAAGCATCTGCAAAAGGCAAGGGCAGCTGCTTGCTTGCTTGCTTTCAGAAGACTATCTCCCAGCACCCAGCTGAGCTCTCCCACCTCTCTTGCACTCTGCTCGGGAAAGGAAACAAAACCCTGGCGTTGCCCTCAAATGTATAATGAGGCAAAGCGGAAGGAACTGCTGCAGACACTCAAACCAAGGAAGCAAAACAAGGAATGAATAAAATTAGGAATTGTGTAAGGAATGTCTCAGCGTTCAGTACACGCTGGGATGCAGTGCTTGGTCTGTTCTCTCAAAACTGCCTGGGTGCACGTGCCTGATGGCTGCGAACGGGCACTGACAGAGGCTGCTTATTCCTTAATGAAAGGAGAGCAGGGGGTGACACAGAGCAGCTGGCACACTGTAGATCTTCCTTCATCCTCCTCACAGTGATTTGCTTGTGTGTTTACGCCCTTGACAAAATTTGATTTGAAAAAAACCACATTATCTAAGCCAAATTTCCTACAGGCACATCCCTAGAACACATGGGTGAAAAAAAAATCTGACTGATTTTGTCACAAAATGATAAAATATGCATGTGTGCACAAAGAAAGATTTCTCTTGGAAGATTAAATGTTGAAATAGTCCATGTGTGGTAAATTAGAGATCCAGCAAGTAGATATGACATCATGATAAGCAAGGAGCAAAGGGTTTATCTAGGGTTGCAAGCACAAAAGCATCACTTTCCACAGAGGGAGAAGCAATGCTCCTTTGCCCAAGTCCCGCATTCTCTACCTGGAATATCCTGAGTTCAGCTAAGTTTCCAGAAAAACATCAGACTACAGGAAATTCCACTCCACAGAACAGTAGCCAAGATGAGAAGTTAGAATAATGTCGTAACTATCGAAGAGCTAAACCAGGATGGGCTATACCATAATCCGAGGGTACAACCAGAGGCAGGCGAGAAATATTTAAATACGGTTATTTGGGGGTTTAATTGATTATGCCTCAGTAGGGGAATTCAAGCAGATGACCTCTGAGATCCTTTGTAGCCCTAGATCTTGGTGTTTTTAAGACTTAGGAAATTGCAAGAAGTCCATGGCTTTGTTTTCTTGGATGATAAAACTTCCTAAAGGTGCCTGGTGTTACAAGGACATGACATGGCTTTGAAATCCTTATTGCTTACAGCAGGCTTTTGAGGTAATCTTCTTTGGACATGAAACCAATCCCTTCCTTTTAGGGGAAAATCCTTGTGGCTGTCTTTGCTCTCGAAAGTGTCGTTTATGGATTAAAAAAAAAAAAGGAAAAAGCCAATTAAACCAACAGGACCGACAGCAGGGAAAGCAGCATCCAAGCCGATCCCAGTGGATCTGCTGTTCTGGCTCCAGTACTGAAAATTGTTTCTACCTGAAGCCTGAGCCGGGTCAGGGCGGTGCACAGCTCAGCCCCTCCTCTGCTGAGTGCTCTGCGGGACCAGGACGAGGAGATGCTCCTGACCCTTGGGGCCAGTGGCCTTCTCAGGGGTTTCTGGGCTCTGTGATTCAGATTCGAGACAGGCGGTGCTGGAGTTACTGCGTTAGTTTTTTGGGAGCTCCGCAAGTTTCTCCTTTC